TGTCTCAGCCTCCTGAGGTGCTGGGATGACAGGCCTGCACCACCTCGCCCAGCAGAGGGTGGCTCTTAATTTGGGCTGCACAGCCAAATACCCTGGGGAATTTTAAAAACTCCTAAAGTTCAGGCCCTGCCTGAGAGCCACCCAATCAGGGTTTCTGGAGGTGGGACACAGGCACCCCTAGGTTTTCCAGGTCCTAATGATGCAAACATGCAGATGAATGGAGGCTTCTCCATTCATCAGAACAGGCAGATGCTATGTTCTGCTGGTTGCTCCTCCTCCCCACTGTGGGGCGCTACACTTCAGACCCACAGTGACGGCTGGCTCAGGACTGAGGCTTAGCCTGGGGTCTGCACAGAAGAGGTTGCTTTTTTAGGGGGGAGGAGATTTCCTGGAGAGGGCAAGGTGTGTGGGGTGCACTGGTCCAAAGGAGGACATCACACATTTTGGAGCATATTGAGCAGAAGTAGAGAGGACACTGGTCCCGAGGGACAAGGGATCACAGGAGGACACTGTGGACTTGCAGGCTCTTGGCCATGCCCCCTCCAGTGTCCAGGTGCCTTCATGGTCAAGGGTCATGTCAAAACCATGGGAGGAAGCCCCCTGTCTCGAGGGTCCTAGAAGAAGGCGGTGACATCTGACACAGTGCTCTTGTCCTGTGTCAGAGAAGCTGCGGGGTGCTGGGGAGATGGCCCCAGCTTGGGCACAAAGGTGGCTCGAGCCCCAGCTACTTCCCACCAAGCAAACTTTTCTTCTCTGAACTTGTTTCCTGTCTGTAACTAGAGGGACGGGACCGACCGTGGCAGCGCTCTGCCGACTACGCAGCCGCAGGGAATGCGCCACAGTACACTTGGCGTGAGGCAGGAGCCCACTGGAGGGGTTCTGGAAACCAACCAATCAGGACTGGTTCTGGAAACACTGGGGTGCCCAGGAGACGTCCACACTGCGGTGCCTGGCATGTCAAAACTTGCTTGCAAATCGTAGGTGTTGACAATTTATGACCTCTGACACCCAGCTTCTGTCCCTCCCAGAGAACTGTAGACACAGCGAGTCTCATCCTGAATGCACCCGGTTACCAACATATACACAGGTCATAGGTGAGCACTCGAGTGGTGGCCTGGCCCATTCCTGGAACTGATGTGCTGTGGATCAGCCCCAGGGTGTGAGCAGTGGTCTCCATGGCACCTGGCTCCAGTGGTAAAGGGGATGGCCCAGACTAGCTCACAAGAGCCAACTGTCCCCACCTCTTCCCAGCCCTGCACAGTGGGACAATATGGTGGTGGTTTGGAACCAGCTATGGTGAAAATCTTTATACCACGATCATCAGCAAATGCTATGAATTAGTTCCTGCTCCCCCAAACAAGCACCCCATGCCAGGCCCCCCAGCTGCTGGTGATCTGGGGACACATGAGCTACCCTGACCTTTTCTGCAAAGAGTGGTCCATGGACCAAGCGGCAGCCTTACAAGGAGCTTGTTGGAAGTACTGAATCCTGCTCTCCCTGCAGGTCTCTGGGCATGAAGCTCTGGGAGGAGGAGGGGATCTGTTGGAGATGCGATGCTTTAAGCAGTTTGGGGTTAGCAGAGATAAAGGGGGGGGGGGGCTGGAAGAGCTCACTTCCTGACCCAGAGAGGAGTAGAGGCTTTGAGGGGAAGTGGAACATCAAATCTGAGAGCACGCTTTCCCAGGGTGTGGTCAGGTGCCATCCGATGCCCACCTCTGTGATGTTCAAAAAACATATAAAGAAAATTTAAGAGGGAATAAAAATCTATGTTTCCTGCTCTTGTTTCTCTGCGTTTCTTCCATGCACACGTTTACATAAAGTGACTCGTGGGTTTGTTTGTCCCCATAGGTTAGTACTTGGCACACTGCCTCCCTGGTTTCTTCCAGCATAATCACTGCCTTAGACTTTGACATGGTGGCCCCAGACCTGCTGATCTTCTCAAAAAGGGATTTGGTGACGTTCCTTCGACTGCTTATTTTTATTTCTGGCACCAGCGGCCAGAGCTGTACAGAGAATACCGGTACCTGGAATGTAATGTTCAGAATTAACATTCCTCGTGCCAGGCCTGGCCTGGAGAGCAGAAAGGGATCACCTCCTTGGCCCATGGAAAGGAGTGCAGACCCTAATCTGCTTGCTTCTGGGAGGCATTTTGGCACAGCTGGGGGGATTGGGGCTTATAAACAAAGCCCTTCATTTGTTGGGGGTGTTGGCAGCTCTGGGGAGAAGGAGGTTATACCCTGTGGAGTATTTTTGTGATGTGGCTTGTTCATCCTTCATGTCCAGGTCACGAATGAGTTGTAAACTGCCTGGGTTTGGGGCCATGTATATCACGTATTCATAGGTGACTACTGTGCAGCAGAAACCACCGGTATTCCGCCTCACAGCTTTTCATCACAGACCCCGTTCATTCATTCAGCAAGTATTTATTGGGTGCCTCCTCCAGCCCCACCCACCATGAGGCTGGGTGAATGGGGAGACAGAGAAACCTAGGACGTCTCTGCTTCTGACCAACTGCTACCTTGGCCAGACAGGTAGTGGGAAGGGTCACAAAGAGCAGCCGGGCTGACAAGAGCACCCCAGGGGAAGAATCTATCTTGTGCAAAGAGTTGAGGCAGAGAAGTTGGCCCTTGTTGACAAAGAGCTGTGCAGAAGAGCTGGGGGTGAAGTTTTGCAGAAGATGAGTGGGCAAGAAATGAGGTAGAAATACAGGGGAGTTGTTAGGTGGTCAAATGACTATTGTGCCAAATTTGAATTTGCTCTTTATTCTGTAGACACTCGTCATCCACCTGACCTATGGCCCATCCATTCACCTGCCCACCCACCAATCTATCCGCCACCCAGCTCCCAGCCATCTGGAACCACCCATCCAGCCTAAGTGTCCTCTGCACCAGGCCCAAGATTTCCTCTTGTTGTTCTTTCTGGGCTCCAAGGTCTTGAGGTTTCCCTAGCAACTCCTGGATACATAGTTGACTTCAGAACCACCCAGCCCACCCATGCCTGTTATGGACCACACTATCTGGGCAATGACCAAACAGACTCCATGTTACCCTGAGACTCGATGGCACATTAAAAAATGCTTCTCCCATGGGATCACTCCGCCTCTGAACCCATATCATGTTTGGCAACACAAAATGACAATTCTTGTAATTCAATGTAAAATTGTTCTCTCTTTGATTCCCATTTTTCTTGGGCAATGTACCCTGGCAGAGAATGATTGTCTAGATGTTAGCCACCATTCTTTAACTTGTACTCAACTAGGGTCGTTTTGACCCACTTCCCCGTCTGCTTATGATTTTAGATCTCATGACCTTTGTTTATGGTTTGGAATCATAGCAACAGCCACTTACGATTAATATGGTTTTGGACTCAAACCCCAAGAGGAGGTCAAAGGGTGTAGACTTGCAGCCTACCCCTTGGCCTGCCAGCTCGTGAATAAAGGTTCTGTCTCCTGCTTTAAGATCTAGTCGGTGATTTATTGCAATCTTGCCATAACATGCCTACCTGCAGACTATTTAGGTGATGGAATTAAGCAGTCATGTGACACTGAGACTAGGTTAGCCTGAAAATTGGGTGTTGTTACCCAGGATAAAGGCTGGTATGCTGAGCTCAGCCGTATGAAAGTCTCCCTTCCAAAGTCAGTGAGGAAGATGAGGGAGTATGTGGCAGCAACTGCCCTTCACATAATAAGTGGGTGTTTATGCATTTCAAATTTTGCAAAGGATCCAGAATTGAGAATATTAAAAAAAAATCTCTATGGATTAAACTTTTGCTGAGTTGTTTTTGAGCTGGGGGAGGGGGAGGTGATGGGAGGAGGGAGCAGTATTTAGGACTTGGTCTTAAATGGGTCAAATTTTGTGTGAATACTTGGATCTAACATCTTTCATTGTCTTTTATGCTGATGATAGAAGACACAGAGAGGGCGGGTGGGGGAAGAGAAACAAAAAGATAAACTCCTGACAATACATTGGCACAGTTCCCCCATTCCCTTTTCTCTGCCTATTTTAAACATAATTGTTTAAAAATTCAAATCCGTTTTATAAAGTTTTGACTCTGACTTCCACTCCCTCCACTTTCATACACGATGAAAACATAGATAAAATTTTATAAACAGGCCACTTTAAGGCTGCCAAGAACACCACTGTGAATGCTCCGTAGTTTATCAAACTCCTTAGTCGTGGGTTTAGGAAGTTTCTAAAGTTTAATCTTATCCAAAGGTGGTGGCCATCCTGTTTTCTACCTTCTGTGAGAACTGTGAGAATTTCTTTAGGCAGAATGTTAGAAAAGGAATGACTGAGGAAAGACATCTTTAAATGGTGCCACTTGAATTCCTCTTGCCACACCTCCCAGGTGGCATGAGGTGATGCTGGCTGTCCCCTGAGCTGCGGCAATGGTTCATAGGAAACATTTGTCAAAAACAACCCACAAAATCCAGGTAGGGAATGATCTGCCTTTCCTGCCTCATGGTTCCAAACCAAACTGTTCTCCCCTCCCCAAACTAATCTCTTCACGAAAGATGTGAAAGAGGCCGGTTGAGATGGCTGCACACCTGTAATCCCAGCAACTCAGAAGGCTGAGGCAGGAGGATCACAAGTTCAAGACCAGCCTCAGCAACTTCTCGAAAAATAAAAAGGGCAAGGAACGTGGCTCGGTGGTAAAGCGCCCTTGGGTTCAATCCTCGTGCCCAATAAAATAAAATCAAAAGAAATAAAGAAGAAGAAGTTAAAAGAAATAGCTGGAAATTAAAAACCTGAGTCCTGGGTATCAATCCTGCTGTGCAAGGGACTTCAGTTTCAGATGTGAAACTTGTAATTTTGTCCTTAGTTTTGCTCGTCGTACACTTCAGGTTTCTAAGAAGCCACGTCGGGGGGCCACCTCTCCTTCTCCCGGGGGAGAGAGCAGCATTCCGCGCCTTGGCTCTCACCCTGCTGCAGCTGCAGCGGACCGACTGGGAGCTCTGCTCTGGGTGGACTCCGGGTGGGGTCGGGGGTTCGGGGAGAACCTGGCTCTGTGGCTGCGGGCTGAGCGATCGGTCGCGCTCCGAGCCTAGGCGCGCTGGCTCCTAGCCGGGTGCAGCCCCGCGCCTCCCGCGCCTCCCGCGCGCAGCCCAGCGCCCCGCGCCCACGGGCTGGGCGCACTCACCTCCGCCGTACAGCTGGCACAGGTAGGGGAAGCGCCACACGTTGCCCAGGCCCACGGCATAGGAGATGCAAGCCAACACGAACTGCCGCTGGTGGCCCCATTGCGGCCGCACCTTCTCCATGGCGCGACTCCACTGGCCCCGCTGCCCCGGCCGCGGCGCTCTCGGCTCTTGGCTTTTAATTGCTAATCTTATTAACGGCGCCCGCGGAGGGCGAGGCTGGTAATGGCTGACGGCGAGCCCCACCCGCCGGGCCGCCGCGCTGGGGAAGCGCCCGGGGTGGTGGGCGCGGGGCGGTAAAAAGAGCTCCCGATGGGGTCCCTCGGCCCCTTGCCCCTTTTTGATCGAGTGCCCCCTGGGTGCCAAGCCTGGTCGCGGACATCCCAGCCCTCCTGGAGCTGGCTTTCTGGGGAAGGGAGACGCCTACGTGGGACTGGATGGAACATTTTCAAGGGTCCTTGACCCCCAGCGGGGGCAGTTTCATAGGTTGGACCGAGTGCATGTGCGAGACCAAGAGAGAGACCCAGGGAAGACCTCTAAGGCAAAGCAAACGGGTAGTGGTTCCGCGGAGGAGGAGCCGGGACCTTCCCGCAGAGACTAGAAGGAGCCAGGGACCGTCCCCTCTCCAGCGCCCAGGGTAGCTCTGTCCGCTGTACAGCTGGGCTCTGCACCTATGGGCGGGCGGGGATGGAATCAGGCTTTGAAGTATTGCTGTGGGAAACTCCACTGTCCAGGCCAGAACAGGGACCTGGAATTCTGATTCCTTAGGCCAAGTCGGGACCAGACCCACAAGGTGGCTTAGGTGCAGTGGGTCACCCGACATGACATGGACTACGCCTGCACTTTGTGTTAAAATAGGATCTTGGTTAGTATCGAAGTTCCACCACGGACTTGCTGTGAAATCTTGGCAAGTCATTTGACTTCTCTGAACCTCTGTTTCCTCCCCAATAGTGGGAGCAAACATACCCCACCAAGGGGAGGGCTCACGTGAGAATTAATTGAGGGCTTATTGCCTGGCATATAGTAAAAGCTCAATAAAAAAGCCACTATTATTGTAAGTGCCCAGGAGGCTAGATAACCAAAGACTAGCTAACCCAGCAAATGAGATGATAACACACTTTGAACTATGCCTGTTACCCAGTAAGAGATAAGAAAATGCTAAATAAACAAGTGAAATTTAAAAGCGAAAAGCAGAGCTGTTAGTGAACTCTTCCTTAAAACCAAAATGCAGTCAATGCTGTTGGAGGTTTCTTAGACCTTTGAAATTCTTCTGGTGCCTGCCTGCTGATCGGGGCGGGGGAATGGTCCTGGTAGGAGGCTTCCCCAGACAAACTATCCTGGAACTTTTACCTCCAAAAAGAAGAGAAGGAGGACCCACAGTGCAGTCGGAGAGACTATGCAGATATTTGTGTGTATCATTCCATTTAGGGGCTATCACAATGAGACTGTGAAGAGCATCCTAACATTTTTGGTGGATGGATGCACTTACCGTTGGGACTTGGGGGCTTAGGATAGGTACATGTTCAGCTCTGGTGATACGGGCCCCACTGCTTTCCACAGTGGTGGTACCAGTTCATTGGTTTGGGTCACTGGGCATCCTCACACCCCACTTGTTCTGTTTTTGATGTCGTCTAATCTGTTTGCTGCCTTGAGCTATCTGCTTACATGTTCTTGTTCTCATAAATGAGTTTTCCCAGAGGATTCCTCACTATGCAGGGACATTCAAGAACTCAGAGAGATGCCCGGCACAGTTGTCTATCACCGGGGACATGGGGCTACTTGAAATTTGTTGGCTTGGCAGAGGCCAGGCCCCTGTTTAATTCCCTACCGCAGGGATCTCACCTCCTTCCATTCATTACAGGCACGCTCCCTGGGAGTCCGTCCAGTGTGTTGGAGGGGGTGCTGGTTTGGGCAGCACAAAGAATCACCCAGATAACTCCACGACAGGACCCAGCGCTTGCAAATGAGGGAGTCGCTCAGGTCACCTTGCTCCAATCTGACAAGGCCAGAGGCACTGATGGGGCTGCCCGTGTGGAAAGGAAGTGTCACCCTCCTGAGCTCCTGTTGTTAGTCAATCAGCTCTGTTTCCTTACAGATGCCGCTTGCTTGGAGAAGTGAAAGCTGGAGACTGATAACCACCTGCTCCCAGTTACCCACTGTCAAGTTATCATGTTCACCCTACTCCCTACCACAGAGTCCAGATGCCATGTTGACACTCCAGAAAACTTTGGCTCATTACGTCTCATTATAATGATATAAAACACACCCACCCGTGCCATGACAGATCTGGCCATGCCCAAGCTAGAGAAGAAAAGAGATGGCACCGCGATCCCTGGATCTCCTCCCCTTCCTATGAGAAACTCTGATAATAGCATGCAGACCACACCCCCTTGTCACCCATTGCTAGTGAACATCCAGACTCCAGAGAAGGTACCTGTAGAATATGAGCGCTTCTTCTTTGTTCTTTGGCCATTGACTAAAATTTCCCCTCTGCTCCCGGTACTGTTTGCTTATTTGCAAACAGGACTGAGTAGGAAAAGAATCTGCCAATTTAGTAACAGAAGAGTGGGTGGGTGGGCTTCCAACCGGTGGGATCGAATGTGGGCTGGAGAGTGTTTTACCCTGATCTCTCCAGAAAAAGCTCTGATTTGTATATTTGTCGATTTCCGTGGTGTAAATACTCCCACAAAGGCCAATTCCGAGCCACCGATGAGATGTCATTAATCATGGAGTTGGAGAGAGATGTGCACTAATGCATCATTAAAATGAATTTACAGGGGCTGGGGTGGGGGCTCAGTGGTAGAGCACTCACCTAGCACGTGTGAGGCACTGGGTTCGATCCTTAGTACCACATAAAAATAATAAATAAAATAAAGGTATCATGTCCATCCACAACTAGTGTGTGTGTGTGTGTGTGTGTGTGTGTGTGTGTGTGTGTGTGTGTGTAAAATGAATTTACACCATGCAGGTACAGTGGACATAGATAGCCTTGAAAGCATAGCTAAGGGTATAGTAAATATAAGAAAATGGCATTTATTGCCTCTGAGCAATGTTTCTTTGAATATTTATGACCTCTATTTTAAAAGATGTATGCAATAACTATTTTTATAGAACTCAGTTCCTAATAATGGCTGTTTAATAACCAGCTTGCAAAATGCCTGAAAAATTTCCGGTCAGCTCTCAGGAGCCTGAAGGAGCCAGCGCCAGCACCCCATGAAGGCGGTGGAGGGAGTTTGGAGCAGGGGAGGGGGTTCCGCTCTCCTTGGTGGCTGGAGCCCCAGAACAGTACGGTTTTCAGCCTAGCTGAGCCCTACCCTGTATGCACCAAGGAACCTGCAAGAGCAGTTCAGGAGAGCCTGCCACGTGCCCCATGTCAATCAGGACAAGATGCCCTGCAGGATAGCAGGTGAGCATGCCTGTGTTATCTGATTTCTGCCACAGGTGGAGAAGGAGGGCACCGCCCTGATATAGTTGCATGGGTGTGAGCCACTCGACCTGTGTCAGGGTTCCAGATTCCTACCCCACCAACTACGAAGGTCACACAGCTTTCAATCATTTGCTTATCCTGGTGATTCCATTTTTATTTAACCATCCGGGGCTCCCAGTTATCCACAAGATAAAGTCCAAACTCCTTTGCTTTCTTTGTGAGGGCCTGAGGATTTTTTTTTTTTTTTTAATTGGGCCTTGAGGAATTTGACCCTTGCACACCTGGGTTCCAGAACCTCAAGTTTTCACTTTCAGGAAAATGCTGTGTGTTTGGGTATCTCTGAGCAGCCCCTCAGCCCGGGAATAAATCCTTTCTGTTCTTCTCCAACCCGATGAAATATGACCCGTTTTTGGAAACACCTGCACCCCATCCCCAGCCAGAATGGATCGCTGCCGCTCTGTGCCCCCAAGTCTGGCTTGGTCTAAGGCTTACAGTGCTGTGTTGTCAGGAAGAGTGCGTTCATTGTACCTGTGCCCTCAGGTCTTTTCCCCCTAGTGCCAGGTATGTGGTTGAGTCTCAAGAATTCATGGAGAAATAAAAACTCCGATGCCGACTGAGCCCTGGGTGCAGTGAAGCTCATGCTCGCTGTTCACAGCTCCCACCACCCTCAGACGTCTGCATTGCAGAACCTTTCTTTGGTCCATTGAAGTCTTTATTGTACATGGGCTATGTCCCAGGAGGCTTGTAGGCTCTGGAACTCAAGCCAAAACCTGGATCATGACTATCCCCTTCCCCACGACCCAAGGTACTTGCTCACACAGAGAGACACACAGTGCAAACAGGAGTTTGGAAACCAGCAGGAGGAGGCTCTGTAGAGGAAATACTGAGGGACTGACCCAGCTCAGGTGGGAAGGAGGAGAGTCCTCCCAAGAGCCTAGAGAAGCACCTTCCTAAGGGCTGTGCATGCATGCACCTATATGTGCAGGCATAAATGCATGCACATGTGTGTGCATGGTGTGTGTGCATTGGTGATATGTGCATTTGTGTATATGCACATGTGTGTACATATATGTGTGCTGTATGTGCACTTGTGAGTATGCATGTGTGCAGTGTGTGTACTCATTTGTGTGCAGTGTGTACATATGCAGGCATGTGTGGGTGCATATGTGGATGTATGGATGTGTATGTGTACATATGCAGTTTCTGTGTGTGTGCACTGTGTGCATGAGTGTAAGTATGGTGTGCATTTGTGTGTGTGCATGGGTGTGTTGTTGGTGCAGTGTGTGTCCTGGTGTGTGTGTGTGTGTGCATGCGTGTGTGTGGTGTGGATGGGTGTGTGGTGTGAAGGAGCTGCGAGTGTCCCATCCCTTCTCCCTGAGACCTAGGGTTCTCTTGGCTGCTATGGAGCTTCTGGCCTCAGCCCAGGACCTGGGCGTGGCCCGGTGGAGCAGTGCTTCTGAAGCCTCAGTGTGCCCAGCAGCCCCTGGGAGTCTTGTGAAAACACAGTTCCTGGTTCCATGGGTTCTGTGTTTCCCAGAGGATGCCCCAATCCGGAGTCAGACCCATCTATCCCTCCCACGCTCCTGCCATGTTTGTCATTTTTGACATGTTTGTGAACCAAATGTACCGATTTTTAATCATTTCCTTTTAAATGAATTCACTTGTTCACATAAATACATCTGAGAAGGAAGTTTTATATCCTTAGCATACATGAAAAGCTAGTGTTTTTCGAATGCATTTTTAAGATGCATCTACCCACCTTAAACATTTTTAAAGGTCTCGCTGGTGCCTCCTTAAGCCACACTCTGTCCTCCATGGGTCTTGCCTACAGACTCTGCCCACACAGCCCTGGAATTCTCAGAAGCATCCGCGGGATTGTGCCCAGGGCTTGGACAGGGCTGGTACAGAGCCTCCTATAGAGTAGCCCACCGTGGTGCCTTCGTGTTTCTGTATGGAATTTTATTTGGCATAGAGTTAGGGTCTCCAATATACCAGAAACCCCTATCTGAGCCCATTCCTTTGTTGTATAGAAGAGGATCTGGAGTTCTCTGTGCACCACATTCACCACGTGTGGTCACTTAACTTTAATTGAAAGGAATCAACGCCATCCTCAGTGTTGGGTTCCTCGGTCACACCAGCCACATTCCAGGAGCATGAAAGCCGTATGTGGCCAATGGCTGCTGTGGGGGACAGGGCAGACGCAGAGCACTGCCATCCTCCCAGGAGTGCCTTTGGACAGCCCCAAGGTGTGGGGTCAGGGGGAGGGATCCAGTGACGGTTCCTTCCATGGACTTTCCTCTCTGGGCTTGGAGTCTGTGCAGCTGCTTGGGATAAAGCCATGTCCTGCATGTGTCCTGTCGTTCTCTGTCTCTCAGAATGCTGAGCGGGGCATCCCATCCTGGAGCAGGGAGACTACATATGCTCCAAGGTGCCTCCAGGCCCTGAACCTCCTTCTCCTGGAGGATGAGAGACACCAGAGCTCTCTTCCGACTGACCCTACCCCTGCTCCTCCAGCTGCCTTTCGGTCTCCTATGCCCCAGAATCTGCCCTCTGTCCACGGGCCCCTGACTCTGGACCTCCCTCCCTATTTTCCTAGTGCCACCCTTTCTGGCCTGGACCTCATGGTTGGCCAGTTCCACTCAGCTCCCTCCCCCCTACCTTTGTCCTCTGGCTCCCTCCCGCTGTTTCGCCTGCCACTTAAACTCCAGGATTTCTGGACTCTCCAGGCTGCTGCTAGGGGATCCTGGGGAACCACCGACAGCTGCATTGGAAGCACAGGTGCGGGAGCTCAGCAGGGTCTTGCTGTCGCACGCTCCTCCGAGATCCATCTCTGGTCCCATGCTGTCTGTGGCCCTGGGAGAAGGTTCCAGACCTTCTCTGTGTGCCTCAAACCTTTCCTCCCGCATCCCTCGTCTCACTGATGACTTAACAGAGGTCCCACGAGCCCACGGATAGCCCAGGGGAACTCGCCTCACGCTGGCCCTCTCCCCACGGGTTGCCCTGAGCTTGGGCCTCAACCCTCCCCTGGGGCTTTGGCATCTCCCCCATCAGTTATCCTTCTCTCCCTGGCACTGCTGAGACCACCCCCCACACCCCCGATGCACACATACCCCACACCTTCCTTCCCAGGTTCCCCTAACAGCGTGTTCTAGAATCTTCTGGATCTCACCACCAATCTTTATTCAAAGGTGTGGCCATATTCCTTGCCCCGGTTTCTCATCACACCATTCGCTCCCTGCCTCTGAAGGAGTGATGTGGCGCTGAGACCTAACTTATCGGGAACCCATTCTGTCACATACACCAGGACATTACGACCTTCCCTTTTTTTTCTTTTCTGTTCCTTCTGTTGTGATGGAAGGACCCTTCTTCCCAGCCAAGACTGTGTGTGCTGACCACCTCCCCTGCATGTCTGCAGACCCAGACCAGGATCAATACACAGCGAGTCCTACACAGACTAGATGACTTGGCCCCAGATGGAGGTTTGTTAGTGCATGAGGAGATTTGGAAAATGATCTTAATATATCAACCACTATTTTTTTCTTTTCAAAATGAAAGATAATATCTTTACAGAAAACTGCACCGGAAAATCCATCTCTATCTCAAATGAATGCTTTCCCTCAGCTCAAGAAAATCCTCGCCACCCCGTCAGCCTCCGGGCCTCGCACCTGCATTTGAGTGTTCATACTTCATATCACACGTTCACATGGTACACCGTGAAAAAATACCGTGGTTGTTCTTCCGCGTCTGACTTCTTCTGTCTCACATGATGTCTTGTTTGTTTTGTCTAAGTTCGTATTGTAGTGACAGCGTTTTCTTGCCACGCTATTATATTGCCTATGTGACTATATTTGTATATTATTTGTGCATTTTATTACTGATGGACATTTGGGTCATTTACAATTTTTTAGCCCAGCGTGGAGAAGGTTGCTAGAAACATCCTGGGACATGTGTCCTGGTACACACACGCTAGCGTTTCTCTGGATGGGAAGGCTGAACCACGGTATGTCAGGAGATGGTCTCTATGTTGGTTGTATCAATTCATATATATGTATATATATATGTGTGTGTGTGTGTGTGTGTGTGAATAGGTATGTATAAATATAAATATATGAATTTATATATGTGTGTATCAATATTTCCATGACAGCCTAAGATTTCTAGTTGCTTTATATTCTTGCATAGTCTGATAAAGGAAAAAAAAAAGGGGGAAATTTATTAAAAATTCAGGACAAATAGCATAAAGTACGACAGAAGATGGAAATCCAAATGCTATTAGTAATAATAGTAAATTTGGACAAGTTAAGTGGACCATATATGAAAGTCAGAGACCATAATGACTGGGATTTTAAAATCAGAAATACCTACATGCTATTCATAAAGAGGTATTTACCAACCATCAGATCACAGGAAAATGTATAGCAAAATTACAAAAAAAAAAAAAAAAGATGTACCAGGAGAATGCTACTCAAAATAAAGCTAGGAATGGCTGTATTGCACATCAGACAAGACAGACTTTAAACCACATAGTGTCATTAGCAATGGAAAGAACATTTATCACAAGAAAGATACAATATCTGCATAATCAACACAATTAATAAAATGGCTTCAAAAAAAAACAAGAAAAAATTTGATGGGACTACAAGGAGAACCTGGAATTTCTTCCATCATGATGGAGATTTCTGAACCCCTCTCTCATTGCTGGCAGATAAAGCAGAACACACAAAGAATAGGGAATGAAAACGGGTAAGGAAGATTATCATAAAAAGAACCAAAGGGAATTTCTAGAAGTGAAACATGCAATAATGGAATTTTAAAACTCAGTCGATGTGTTTAAAAGCAGACTAGACAGAGCTAAAGAGAGATGAGATGGACTTAAAGATAGGTCAGGAAAGATGATCTGGCATACTGCACAAGAGATAAAGAGACAAAAAAAAAAAAAGAAAGAAGATAAGATATATATAAATAAGATGCTGG